GTTTTCGATGTTGTTATTGTTTTGTTTATTTTATATATATATTTTTTTTTTTTTAAATCACTATTTTTTATGGAGGTGTTTTACGCCCTTGGTGGCACAATCGCGATACTTTAGGATACTTCCGCCAGGGGGATCCTTCATCCGAAGTAACTGGTAGGGGGAAAACGTGAATAGTGGAGACACCTCTATTGACGCTCTCTATCACACAGCACCCTTACGATCCTCGTGGATTATGCGATCAGCACACATTAAGCAAACACGAAACAAATTGTATTTTCCACACTCGGGAATTGAACTCGGGGCTCCTATGTGCGAGAGCAAAGCGCTTAACAACTACTACACCACAGACGCCGATATATATGCTGCCAGTTTTTGCACGCACTAAGCCTGAGTTATAGCTATTGGTCAATGCAACTTTCTGCCCCTATTCTTTACATTATCATCCAGTGCCGGATTTGTGGCTGACATCGCCGATAATGGTTCTCCATCCATTCCTTTGCTCGGATGCTCTTTAAAAGGCTACGTTTCCCTTATCTTTCCCCGTCACCCATCAGTTTATGTGTTCTCCAAGTGGATAGCTCTAGGCCTACACTTGCCTCTTTTCCCTTCAATTTTGCCATTGAGACTTAGATGTTCAATATCTCTATGTCTATTCAGGTGTCCAAAAACTGCATTCAAGCAGATAGAGCTTACTATCTATGAGGGAACCTACTTGTTCCAGCAGATATAAGCTACTATCTATGAGAGGCCTTACTTGTTCATGCACATATTATAGGCTTCTATCTATGAGGGACCGACTTGTTCAAGCAGATATGTATGCTAATAACTTGTAAGAACATTTTGTTCCTGTAGATATATATGCTACTCTCTGGTATCTAGCTTGCTTGTTCATACAATATTATGTATGCTACGATCTATGAAATACCTTTTTTGTTCATGTAGATATAGGCTACTATCTATGAGAGGCCTCTCTTTTCTCTACAGATATAGGCAACTATCTATGAGGGCCTCTATTTGTTCATACAGATATGGGCTACACTTTCTAATGGATTGTTCCTACTTGTTCATGTAGATATTGACTATGGTCTCGAAAGATACCTACTTGCTCATGTAGATATTGACTAATGGACTATCTATGAGAGGCCTCACTTTTCTCTACAGATATAGGCTTCTATCTATGAGGGCACCTACTTGTTCATACATATTTAGGCAACAATCTGTGAGAGGCCTTACTTGTTCATGCAGCTATAGGCAACTATCTCTGAGAGGCCTTACTTGTTCATGCAGCTATAGGCAACTATCTCTGAGAGGCCTTACTTGTTCATGCAGCTATAGGCAACTATCTCTGAGAGGCCTTACTTGTTCATGCAGCTATAGGCAACTATCTCTGAGAGGCCTTACTTGTTCATGCAGCTATAGGCAACTATCTCTGAGAGGCCTTACTTGTTCATGCAGCTATAGGCAACTATCTCTGAGAGGCCTTAATTGTTCATGCAGCTATAGGCAACTATCTCTGAGAGGCCTTACTTGTTCATGCAGCTATAGGCAACTATCTCTGAGAGGCCTTACTTGTTCATGCAGCTATTGGCAACTATCTCTGAGAGGCCTTACTTGTTCATGCAGCTATAGGCAACTATCTCTGAGAGGCCTTACTTGTTCATGCAGCTATAGGCAACTATCTCTGAGAGGCCTTACTTGTTCATGCAGCTATAGGCAACTATCTCTGAGAGGCCTTACTTGTTCATGCAGCTATAGGCAACTATCTCTGAGAGGCCTTACTTGTTCATGCAGCTATAGGCAACTATCTCTGAGAGGCCTTACTTGTTCATGCAGCTATAGGCAACTATCTCTGAGAGGCCTTACTTGTTCATGCAGCTATAGGCAACTATCTCTGAGAGGCCTTACTTGTTCATGCAGCTATAGGCAACTATCTCTGAGAGGCCTTACTTGTTCATGCAGCTATAGGCAACTATCTCAGAGGGGACGTCACACAGAGAGAGCATGGAGAAGCCGATGTACTTGTTGCTGGACAGAGAGGCAGAGGTCAGGAAGAGGCCAAACGTCCCCATAGCACAGGTGAACCTGGGGACAAGTGGACATGAAACTGATAATAGAGATGATATAATAATAGTTGTAATAATAATATTAATAATAATAAAATATTAGTAGTAATACTAATGATAATAATGATACAATAATAATGACAATAACAATCACAACATTAAAAACAAAACAAAAGTTTAAAAAAATAATAGTAATTTAATAGTATAGCTTATAATAAAAATAAAAATACTGATAGTAAAAAAAAAAACAAGGAAAAGAAGGAGAAGAAGAAGAAGAAGAAGAAGAAGAAGAAGAAGAAGAAGAAGAAGAAGAAGAAGAAGAAGAAGAAGAAGTACAACTACATAATGTGCAATTGTAATTAACTCAACAGACTCAGAACAAGACTGAGAACCATTCTTTTTATCCATGGAAGCAATAAGTGTAAACAGCTGATTTAGCTTCCTAACACAAGCTAACGGACAAGATATTTCGTTTTCTAATGCACATTCAGTGAGCAGCATTCGTATAAAGGGCACAACCTCAGGCTCCTGAAGGGATCCGAACCCATTCTCTTACTTGAAATACTTGAATTACTTGAATTACTTCATCGCCCCTCTTCATGAGGGTCCATTTCAGTGTGGGCAGGCTGATTGTTTTCCCTTACGGCTGAGAATCCATTAACATTGATTGGTACATTTTTTTGGGGGGGGGTGGGGGGATTTGGGGAGAAACAGGCACGTGTTCATATAATGTTCCCATCTCTGCTTGGGTGTAAAAGTGGGGCATCACTAAAGCTTCTTCCACACTTCTCAGTTCTCATCCTGTCCTCAATACGATGTTTCAGTCGCCGCTCACCAATTATTTGATGCTGTCTTTCTGTCGTTTAATGAGTTTTCTGACAACACATAAAATCAAATGATGGGGTTCTCCGAGCCTATTGCAGATTTTATATCAATTCAGAGGCGGGCTATGACCCTTCCTGTCATAACCAAGTCGAGCTAAGATGAACACAACGTCCCTAATGAAAGACTATACATAAGAATTGAACTTGGATTTTCTACGTGCGACAGCACAGTGCCCAGCAGCCAAATTACAGACGCGGATCGAACAACATGGTTCAAATACACAACCAACACCTTTTCTTGATCAAAGTACAGGATTGCCAGTAATGTCTAACACTGACGCACGCAGGATACTCTAGTTCTATTCCCGAATGGGGAGAATTTTAGTGCCGAGTGTATTGCCGGTCCTTCTGATTAGATGTTGTATCCCTTTCGTTGGGGGATGGTCCTGAGAAGCAGGGTCGGAGGCCCTCCAGTTCCTGAATGATCTAAATTGTGTTGATTGGGGCGTAAACGCACCGAAATAATAAAAACAATACTGTAATATTATTATGATTAAAGATATTTTAGTAAGTGTATTACGGCGCTCGCAACTGCATAAAGTCATATGAGCGCGCAGCACACACCAAACAGGTTCAGTTGGTAGGACATTTTGAATTTTCCCCGTGTGGTGGCTGAAGCTTACTTTCATTGATTTTAAGAACACCAAAGGATCTTTAACGTTCGCAACTTGCACACGGGACCTCCGAGATTTTTCGTTCGTGCCCGTGAAGGATAGGGTCTTACCTACCTTAATACCAGGGGTATGGCTGAAAGACAGCAGTAAGAAGGAGCTAAGGAGTAGCAGTAGAAAGGCTGCAGAAAGAGTCAGTAGCCCTGAGGAAGGGGCAAAGGAGGTGAAGAGGTGGGGGCAGAAAGTGGAGACAAAAGCAGACTACAGAACATTTCTAGAGACCATGAAAGGATGTGAAAGGAGACAATGTTCCATGGCTATCCGGATGCGATATTATAATCTCACCAGGCAAACGAAATGATGGCACAGTTGACGCACACGCGAGGTATCTTCAGCAAGTGTAGGAGTGTGAGTTTGGTGTCCGCTGTTCCCGTGAGGGTCTCTGTGTCTGTGTCTGTGTGGCCGTGGTCCGGGAATTCCTTCTTCACCAAACTGGCTTCTGGGGGGACTTCGTTTTGTTCGGGAAGATCTTCATGCTCTTCTTCTTGGTTAGCATGATTCTTCAACAGTTGCTGAGGCTCCTGATGTGGAAGTTGTTCTTTTTGTTCTCCTGGGTCGGCCTTTTTGTCTTGCAGTTGCAGAGGTTCTTGATGTAGGAGTTGTTCTCTGTGGTCTTCTTGGTGAGTTTTATTCTCCTGCAGTTGCACGGACTTCAGGTTTGTATTTTGTTCTTCTTGTAATAGGGAACCACACCTGGTTCCGGAATGGTACACCTAGCAAAAATAATTGCCGTTGAAACATTACTTCATGAAAACGAATAAGTACACTTTTCACAAATTACTTTTTTTCATCGAAATCATTACTAGCTCCCCCCTTCCCGCCCCAACCCCCCCCCCCCCCCCTTCCACAAAAAACAACTTTGACGTAGAATTGTGGGCTATTTTATAGAGCAAAAAGCATCCTTTTGTTAGATGATAATGCTTTATCTCATCTGAAATGACGTCACCTTAATTATGGTACGAGATCTACAATAAAAATAGTGATACAACTGCTTATCACACATTTTGTTGTATCGTGTAAGTATACAAGAACATCCAGAAAAAACTACTGTTGCAATCCATAAAAAGCATCCACGTTTAAATATTTATGCAGTTGCTCCACAGAGAAGTGTTCGAATACGTCCAATCCTGTACACCAGAAAATGAACTCTAACGAACTGAATTTCTTTCCTTAGTGAATTTTTAACATTTCTAAATTAAATATTATACGTGTTTTTTAAGATAAACTGTTAATAGCTAAAGTTAATTTCTTGAACATGACAAAACGATAAATGAATCAGTTCTACTTGTGTTTACTTTAGATGTCTCATAAAATGAAATAAAGGAAAATAAAGGAAAATGATTAAGTGAAGTATTCAACATTTAATTTTTTCCCGATGTAATCGATCAGTCTATCATGACAAGATTATTATTGTTATATATATATATATATATATATATATATATATATATATATATATATATATATATGTAGGTGGCGTCGGTAGCCTTGTGGTTAGGTGAACGTACCTGCAATCGTGAGATTGTATGTTGAGGGATTCTAATCTCATCTCAGTCCGACGTTATGTCCTTGGGAAAGGCAATTTACACGAATTTCCCATATTGCTGGGTCCTTTCAAGGATGGGCGTTAAACTCGGTGGTCCGGCCTCTTAGATAACCTAATTGTGTTGATAGGGGCGTAACACGTACCTACACCGCTTCACCGTTACTAGTATATATTTATAAAGCACAGTGAATTTTTTCTTCTCCAAACTCAAGAAAACTTGATGTAGACCTGACCCTTACCCTTAGAACGGCATTGAGGTCCTTCCCATTCATTCTTGCAGCTCTGGTTAAGACCTTCAGGGTCTCTCTCGTCTTGCCATTGGCAATCAGCCACCTCAGAGACTCGTCTAAATACCTGCAAAGACACATGCAGATTATAAAATGTTGCATTTAAGAGACTTTCAATCAATTTTGAGCGCATTGTCATTCCCTTACTAAAAAGAATTGTTAAAACTGTCTAAGATGCCCTCCCATTATATATAGAGAAGAAGAATGGCTTTCTTAGACAAGTGGATGTTTTTAACAGTGTCAGCATAATGTAAAACCATGCAAGGGAGGCTATGCGCAGTGGCTGTATACACAAGCCATTGTCTTATACAGGTAGCCGTCAAAGCAAGTTTAGCTGTATGTGTATGAGGTTAACACCCTTACTAACATTATTATTTTTATTTTAGAGGCTGGGTCTACGAATTTAACATCTGCCTCCGAACCGAGCCAAATGGGTTGAGAACCTTGAAAACTCCACAAGAAGATTCAATTTCAAGAACACCCAATGGGGATCAAACTAGGGCCATCCTTTGTGTCCCTCTGAGACGGTGTTTGTCCAGGCAGACATTAAGTCAACATTTTATATCCTTTTTATTGTGTTAGTGGCGGTGTAAAAAAAACATACATTAAAAACAAACAGGTCCCAACTTAAAAAAAACACCTCAAACATTACATAAAAACAACAAAAAACCATGTCACACTTTAAAAAATATGATTAACATAAAGATAATAATCATAACTTGAGAGAAGCTTTTTGTTCCATTGTTTGTTGGTTAGTTTGAAAACCGTTCAACATTAATTTATACAACATTTACACTGACCACCACTGGAAGATGAAGAAGACAGAGCTGAGGCTGAGCGCTGTCTGGAGGGTGCGCCAACTCTCAGCTCTCAGCAGCCAGGAGAGGAAGGCAAAGGACACCATCCCGACGGAGAATGTGAACCCACTGGAGAACGCGTTGATCCTCCTCTCGTCTGAGGGCAGCATCTCCATGCCGTACGTCACAGAACTAGTCACAATGCCCTGTGGATCAAGAGAAAAAATGTATTTGATTTTACGCCCCCTTCAACATAGTTTAGATCGTTTAGGATGAGAGCTTCCGACCCTTCCTAGCTGAAAAGGGATACCACATCCCAATTGAAAGATCGAGGTACTCGATGAAAATTTTTCGCCACTTGGGAATTGAACTAGATTGGATCTCCTACGTACCACAGCGAAGGGTCTAACCTCTTAACCACTGACGCCTGTGTGGATAAAGGAGCCACAACCTCAGTGGATATTTAGCATTGTTGATACGCTTGTGCTACTTCACTTTTACAATTGTTAAGTCTATATATTCCTTTGTCACGTCAAGATATTCAACATAAAAAGATACTATTTTCCAAGTTACAACAAAATCAACAACAACAGCAACAACAACAACAACAACAACGACAACAACAACGACAACAACAACACCAAAAACAACAATAACAATGATAGCAACAACAAGAGCAACAACAACAATGACAACAACAATAACAACAACAACGATAACAACAACAACAACAACAACAACGATAACAACAACAACAACAACAACAACGTATGGCCCGTCAATGCGCTACGATAACCAATGCTTAAATTTGTAGAATAGTATTTTTGTTCGACATGAAATAGATGAAATTAATTCAGATTTGTTTTTTGTCTTCTGCTACGGCTCATGACACCAAATTCTGCCAGAGTAAGGTTAATAACATTTTGAGCTTCTTAAAGCAAAAGATAGGAAGAACAAGTGGAAGAAATAATACATGACATGAAAGTCTGTAAGAACGTAATGAGATTTTATTGCTGCTTCCATTATCTAACACAGAAAATCAAACAGAAGCTTTGGTCAAGCTGGTGGGGTTTGTTTTCTTTATTCTATACTAACTGCATTAGTTAAAAATGACACTTTCATTAGAAAATATTTAAACACTTTAATACGATTTAAAACTTTCATTATAATATTAAGTTGTTTTCAGGATTGTATGTTTTGATTTCTTTGTTTTTGCCTTATTGTATCGATAAACTGCCATGGCGATTGGTAA